AACACATTTGTGAATGACCCATAGGTCAAGGAGGAGTTGACAACAGAAATTAGAAAATGTTTTGAAATGAATGAATTTAAACACATATCAAACTATATGACTCAACTAAAGCATTTTAGAGGGAAATATATGAGAAAACAATAATGGTCTCAATTAGTCATCTTAAATTCCATCTTAATAAGAATAGTAAAGTAAGCTCAAAGCAAACAGAAGTAAATTAATAAAACACACCAGGAAAACACTAGAGAGAATCAATGAAGGGTTGGCTCTTTGAAAAGGCCAACAAAATGATAAATCTTGAGACTGATCATGTAAAAAAGAGAAGACACAAAGTATCAAAATCAGGCATGAAAGAGCATATTACTGTCCTAAAGAAATGAAAAGTATAGGTTATCCTTGAACTACTCGAGTTCAGGTAATGACCCTCCTTTTCAAGTTAAGTTGAAAAGGTATATAATAGCATACTGTTGACTGGAGGAAGCCTTACTCATAACATAAAACAGTCAACAAATATTTGCTGTTTTATGTGTTATATAGTATATTCCTACAATAAAGTAAGCTAGAGAATAAAAAATGTCATAAGAAAATGATAAGGAAGAGAAAATATATTTACAGTGAAAACAATCCGCTTATAAATGAACCTGTGCAGTTCAAAGGTCAACTGTGTTATTAAAGAATTTAATGAGCTATTTTATATTACCAGATGGGCAGATTTTACAAAGACATGCATTACTATAAATAGACTCAAAAAGTAATATAAACTTTGAATATACTTATAAAAGGTAAAGAAATTAATAAGTATATTCTCACAAAGAAAATTCTAGGCCCAGTTGGCTTTACTGCTAAATGTGTTTCAAACATTTGCGGAAGCATTATTACATATCCTGTGCAAACTCTTTTGGAAAATATAGGAAGAAAGGATCCTTTTAACTTATTTTGGGGGGCCAGTGTTACCCTGATACCAGTGCTAGACAACAACATGACAAGGAATGAAAACTACAAATTATCTCCTGTGAACATAAATGTAGAAATCATTAACAAAATAACAGCAAACCAGTAATATATTAAAAGTATTGGACACTGAACAAGTTGTGGTTATTCTAGAAATGCAAGGAAGTTTAACATCATAAATCAATTTATACAATATATTCTGCTAGTAAAATAATGGACAAAAACCACATGATCTTTTTCAGTAAACATAGAAAAAAATTTGATAAAATTTAAAACTTGTTCATGATGAAATATTTTAAACCTACTAAATTTACAGAAGGAAACTTGCTATCATGAAGGGCACGTACAAAAATTTTATTGCTGTGAGAATTTTGTAATTGCCATTTTTTATTTATGTCATTCATTTCTAATACTTTGGTTTATGGTGTTATAGTAACACACAAAGTATCAAAATACTTTTCTGTTTTGCTATCTGTTTTTTTTCATCACTATTTACAGAAAGTACTATCTTTCCCCCCATTGAATTACCTTGATACTTTCGTCAAAAATTAATTGAACATGTATGTGTGGGTCTGATTTTGTACTGTCCTTTTTCATTGATCTATAAGTTGCTCTGATGCTATACTATCTGGAGTATTCCAGCTTTACATTATGTCTTGATATTTCATAACATAAATATTCCAGTTTTGTTCTTGTTTTCCAAAATTGTTTTAACTGTTTTAGGTTTACATTTTTATGTAAATTTTGGAGTTTTGTCATTTCCCTAAGGCAACTTTTTTATTGCATTTAATATGTACAGCAACCCATAAATAGGATATATTTCATTTTATGTGATCATCTTTAATTTCTCTCTGCAGCATTTTGTAGTTTTTTAGTTTGTAGTTTTTTAGGGGTCTTGTGTATATTTTGATAAATTTATGTCTTATATATTGTGTGTTCTTACTGTTTTTTAAATGAAATTAAAAGATTTTTTCCTAATTTCATTGTTGCTAATATACAGTAAAAATAATCAATTTTTAGATATTGAACTTATATCCTTTAATCTTGTTAAAGTCACTTATTTCTTTTTTTTTTCTTTTTGGTGGCCCCTATGGGGAACGAACCCGCGTAAAATCACTTATTTCTGATGGCCTTTTTAAAAAATAGAATTCATTGGATTTATTTAATATATAATGAAGTCCTCCACAGTTGAAGCATTTATCCTTTCTTATATAAACTATTATTGCAAGATGCTCAAACTAATAGATGAGAAATTGAGAATAAACTTTATATTAGGTTTATCTAGGTAATACTATCTGAAGCTATATACCAGTTTTAACACTAGAAAGACTGAAATTTAGTATATACCTATATTGCCCAAAAGCAGTCAAAATGATTGCATTGTGAAAGAATAACTAATGTGTAAAGAAATTTGTTTAAAATTAATTTTTAATATTTTTTATATTATTTACAGTTATATAACAAGTTATTCGACATTTCTTTCATGAATTTAGGGCACAAAAGAAATAAAATAAACAACTTATTAGAACAAGTATCACTGCATAAAGATTCGAATAACAAGTACTAGTTTACCTTATTGAGCAACTGCAACTTATCAAGTATCGACAATTTATCATGTACTTGTATGTTATCATGTGACGGTAATCGAAAAAAAATGAAAACTGTTATTTCAATACAGAGCCGAACTGGTCATATAAGAAATTTACTCAATTCAATAATAAGAGTCATTTGATTATTTTGTCGCGAGTGACATACTAGTGAAAAAGTTATCAGTTGTGACATTTCTTTCACAGCCTATATATGGCTGGACAAGTTTCAGAACAACGTGTTCACTGAGAAGCATTGACGATGGTTGTTGTTCATCTTTCCCCAAATAAGGAAAACCATTCAAAACATATTTGCTACTAACATCTGATGCAAGCCAGAATTTGATGCCAACTTTGTTGGGTTTATTAGGCATATACTGTGTAAACCTGCACCTGGCTTTTGACGGAAATAATTGCTCGTCAGCTGTTACATTTTGCCCTGGTTGATAGCAAGCTTGACTATTTTCAATGAACTTGTCCCATATTTCTGAAACCAAGGCAAACTTATTTGTTTGTAGGTGCCTACTTCTTTCGGTTCTTTTATCAAAACGAATAAATCGTAGGATTTGCTTGAACTTTGCTCTGGCCATAGTTTTTCTAAAAAATTCGGGACCCTACTTTGCTGACGATAAATAACTGAGTTTTAAATTTTTTGCCTCGTAGGCTCCACGAGCATATAAAATCCCAATAAATGCATGTATTTCCGGTAATGTTGTTGTCCAATCGTTCCTCAAAATTCGGCGGCCTTCTTCTTCTATGCACTTTTTTAAAAATTTCCCCCCCAAGCAGTCAAAATGACTGCTTTCGGGCAATATAGGGGTATAACATATATATATACCGGAAATGAAGGAGGGGGAGGTAACTACAATTATTAATAAATGCATTTATATGTTGTATGAAAAGTCACAAAATTCTAAGAAATTCTGTCATTATATACATCATTGTTTTTCTAATTGAAATTAAAAAGCAGTCAAAATGACTTCCTTGGGCAATCTAGTGTTAACAGTGTTAAAAAGAAAAGGGCAACCAGACATTATGTAATGTATATGTGATGTGATAAACATTCCCCTGGGTCTTTTTTTTTTTAATATGTTTTTATTGATTTTAGAGAGAGGAAGGGGGGGTAGAGAGAGGGAGAGAGAAACATCAATGATAAGAATCATCGATCAGCTCCCTCCTGCATGCCCCCTACTGGGGGTTGTGCCCACAACCCTGGGCATGTGCCTTGACTGGGAATTGAACCATGACCTCCTCCTGGTTTAAAGGTCCACCCTCAACCACTGAGCCACGCTAGCTGGCTCATCTTGATTTTTATTAGAATTTTGTTATTAACTAATATTTGTATATAACCTTATACTTGGTAGAGAATTGACATGCATGCTATCACTGCTTTCATTCAGGACCTATTTCCATTCCATCAATAAAATTGTATAGATTTTTTTTATAAGTGACTTATATATTTCTTTATTTGATATTATATTTTGTTTGCATTATTAATAGAGGGCTTTCAAATATTTGTTTTTTAGAATAAATTACATATATAGTATAATTGCCCATGGTACTTAATTTTTATATATATAATATTTTAGATTGCCTTTTGTAATTTTATAAGTGCACTCTGCATCATATGTTCACCTATTGTATCATATAATTATCAAATATTTTTTCTGTTCCTTACCTTTTAAAGTATTTAGTTTACTTTTTAAAATTAAAACATCAATTTTTTTCTATATAAATGCTTTCTTTTTTATTTCATTAGAAATATCCTCCCAGATGAAGAATATAAAAATATAGTTTCTTTTAGAACTAATCCAATTTTAGTTTTTTCCAAAGAGCTAGTCAGTGGCTCCAACACTATTTTTAAATGAATCACCTCTGTTTTTTACTGCATTTCTTTATATAGTCTAATGTGAATATTTTCAAAGCTATTTATAGTTGTTATCTAAAACTGCTCCCAAAATAATAATTTACTTTTATAAAATACTAGAGGCCTGGTGCACGAATTCGTACACAGGTGGGGTCCAGCCAGCCGGAAGGGGGATGGGGGCGTGGGAAGTTGGCTGGCTGGCTCCACCCCCTGGTTGAACTCTGGTAAAGGGGACAATTTGCATATTACCCTTTTATTATATAGGATTCCATAATTGTGGATTTAGTCTATATTAGGTGTGTTTTTACTTTTATTCAGCACATATTGATAAATGTTTAAAAATTGAGATTAGGCAGGGAGGGGTGTTCTATAATCAGTTTTAGAGATTAAAGGCAGAAATTTTAAAGAATTTTCACACTGAACTGTATTGAGGTCAGTTATCTCTTGATTTTAAGAAAATTTTATTAATAAAAGTGATAGGATCAGAATTTCTTGATTAGCATTCAAGGGGTGGGGAGGTTTGGTTGTTTGTTTTCCTATATTGATATATTTTATTTGTAACCTTTGCTAAAGAAATTGTCTTTCTGTTTTTATAGTTTTGGTAAGCAGTTTGGAGGAAAAAGAGGATGTGATTGTCTTGTATTAGAGCCTTCAGAAATGATTGTGGTAAGAACTTTAAAGAATGCTGAATTGTTTTTTGATGTGCTTTAGTTTCAACTTTAAATGTAGTAGGCTTTTAAATACTCAAGGAGGTTCCATTACTATGACTTTTTAAATATTTTATTAAGTAGCATCAGAACCGTCTACCAAGTTTGATACATTTTTATCTACTTAAATTTTTTTTTGATCCTTGAGAGAATTTGAAATATGATACAATTCTATATAACAGATTCCAAATTTGGTAATTTCTTTTACCACTTCTACCAGAAATTTTAAATAAATGCTTTAAAAAGTGACCTTTAGATTTCAAGTATTTTCTCTTTCTTCTTCAATATACTTAATCTTTGAATATCTATGTCTGTGCCCTTAACTTGTAGGAAAGAGAAAGAAATGAAAGACAATTCTATTTAAGTAAAAAATGGTTTAGATCTTAATATTTTTACTTTAAAAGTGTACTTAAAGAATAGTTCTTTACTTTTTTCTAAGAAAGCTGGGTAGTTGATGTAACTTGAGAAAACACCGACGTTCTTTTTTTTTTTTAAGCATTAGAAAAATCCAGAACACAGCTCCCTTTTACCTTGTTCTGAGATGACCTTACTAGAAAATAGCTTATACTGAATGGGCTCATTGTCCTATTTGCATCTCATGTAGATGATCATGTCATTTGATTTGATTTAAATTGTTGAGAAGTGAGGTTGAATTCTTAATGAAGCATTTTAATGCCAGGGCACTAAAAAAACTAAACCATTTTTCTATTTTATAGGGTTGTAGTCAGATTGACATGTTCTAGTAGTTTCTGTTTTCTCTTCCCCAAACTGCATCATCTACATTATCAAGAGTTCAGTGTCCTATATTTTATTTATTTATTTATTATTATTATTTTTTTTTTATTGATCTCAGAGAGGGTAGGAGAGATAGCAACATCAGTGATGAGAGAGAATCATTTATCAGCTGCCTCCTGCACACCCCACACTGGGGATTGAGCCTGCAACCCAGGCATGTGCCCTGACCAGGAATCGAACCCTGACATCCTGGTTCATAGGTTGACACTCAACCACTAAGCAATGCCAGCCGGGCCAGTGTCCTATGTATAATAATAAAAGCATAATATGCTAATTAGACCAGATAGCTGAACAACCTTCCAACGTCCTTCCGGACGACCTTCTGGACAAAGCCGTGGCTGCGAGGGCCAAGGCAAGCCACCGGGGCTGTGAGGGCTGAACCCCTTGCACGAATTTCGTGTATTGGGCCTCTAGTATTTTATAACATCAACAGAATCTTAAGATCTTAAAAGGCAAAGATTATGTCTTATTTTGTACTGGAGGCCTGGTGCATGAAATTTGTGCACGGGTATGGTCGCTAGGTCTGGCCTGCAATCAGGGCCATCTTCCCCAGCTGCCCACAGTTGGCCCCGCCCCCCGCCACCACCCACCAGTTCCCCGTTTGCTATCTGGTGATTGGTGCCTGATGGCCGGGGGAAGAGACAGAGAGGTAAACTGTACCGGCTCACTTGCCAGCCTCGCCCCCACTGTTGGGTGGCCATCAGGCAATCAGAGCCTGCCAGCTGAGGAAAGGGACCAAGAGGTGGTCAGTGCACCTCATAGTAACTGGTCCAGTAGTCATTCTGGTCGTTCTGCCATTAGGGTCAATTTGCTCATTACCCTTTTATTTATTATATAGGATAGTACTGCCTGCATAATAAGTATTCAGTGAATTGTGCTTGAATTCAAGTTTGTTCACGGCTTGGACTATGTATTTTATGTTTATTTTCTTTTAAGTGTTATAGATGGCATATTATAGCCTCAGAACTACCTTTTAAAAATAAATATATTGAGGAACATGGCAAGAAAACTACCTCAGGCACTTCTTGTTTTCTCATTTGTTTATCAGTTGTTGTACTTCCTCTCCCCCCCACCCCCATACTTTATGGGGTAAGAGTAGTGCTTTTACTGCAGTGTTTACATTGTTGTGGTACAATATAATTAACATAAAATTTATCAAGCTTAACCATTTTTAAGTGTACACTTCATTGTAATTATTAGTTTTCTTTTGAAATTAAAGGGAAAACTTATACTTTCCCCATCCCAAATTTGGAGTTAGCCTTTTCTCTAAGGAGAGAAACTGAGATGTGGCTGCCAGTTGTTTTCATTGCTCTATGTGATTAATTGCTATTAGGGCTTCTCAGGGACAAGAGCTAGAAAATGTCTGAGTGTATGTATACACTACATATATGTGCGTGTACATATGTCTATATTTGTTTTTTAATCTATAGATCTGTTTAAAACCCAGAGTTTATTTTGTTTTTTCCTTATTTAAATCTTCTTTCTCTGTCAGTGAGAAACTTGTTTTTCAGTATATTTACTTACACATAAGGCAGTTTACGAATAGCTTGTTCAGCCCTGGTTGGTGTTGTTTAGTGGGTAGAGCATTGGCCCATGCACCAAAGGGTCTCAGGTTCGATTTCTGGTGTAGGGCACATAGCTGGGTTGCAGGTTTGATCCCTGGCTCCAGTCAGGACATGTGAGGAAGGCAACCAATAGATGTGCCTCTCACATCAACATTTCTCTCTCCCTCCTCCCTCCCTCCCTCCCTTCTACTCTCTCAATGGAAAAAAATATCCTCGGGTGAGGATTAAAAAAAAAAAAGACTTGCTTGCCTGCAACATTGTAGAAAGCACTATTAGCTAGAGTATTAACATACACGTCTAATCTTCTAATCTAATAAAAGAGAAACATGCAAATTGACCATACCTTCACTACGCCCTAAGCCATGCCCACAATCATAGCAACTATATGCAAATTAACCCAACCAAGATGGCAGCCACAGAGCTGGAGCAAGCTAGAGGCTTGGTTGCCCCAGCAATGGAGGAAGCCAAGCTTCCCGCCTGCCCTGGCGGGTGGTGGCCTCCGCTAAAGGCAACAAAATTTCAATTGTAGAAGATAAATAAATCCCAGATACCTGCTTCCAGCCAGGCTCCACTGGGAGGTTGGGTGGCTGGGGGCCATGGCCAGCCTGTAAACAGCCCTCAGCCACTCACCCAGGCTGGCCAGGCACCCCAGTAGGACGCCCACCCTGATCTGGGACACCCTACAGGGCAAACCAGCCAGCCCCCACCCATGCACCAGGCCTCTATCCTATATAATAAAAGGGTAATATGCAAACTG